TTAATGTTTTAGTCAAATATAAAAAGCCCACAGTTGCAAGGGAATAGGATAAATGTTATATGAAATAAGCCTGCATATTTTTCCATTTGTATATTTTAATTCGCTTTGATTAAATTTTATTTGAATGTCCTTTCCATGTCAAATATGTTAAAGCTTACAGAATGCTTTTTATTGTGAAATACAGACACACTTAAGGCTACAGATACAGAAGGAAGTGTGAAAGGGAGAGCAGAGTCTACTCAGGGACATCCTCAACAACCCCCAGGAAGTGTGAAAGGGAGAGCAGAGTCTACTCAGGGACAATTAAAAGAGCCAACAACCCAGCAGCGGAACCCAGAACCACTAGCTAGGAACAAGGTAGATGAAGATGATTACTTTGCTCGACCTCAGCCACAAGATATACATACATTTTTTTCTTATTGTCCTCAACAACTCCCAAATGTTCCTATACCAAAGGTTTTCAATAGTAAAAATGGAACAAACCGCAAGTGGTTGAGTTACTGTGAAAAAAACCTATCTCTGTACTGTTCTGTTTGTTTGGCATTTGCACCTTTGGTATGTGATGGCCCTTTCATAAAGGGCATGAAAGACTGGAAACACATTCACCAAAGGATAGTGGAACACGAAAGATGTAAGACACACAGAGATTGTGCAGATGCTTACTTTATGAAAATACAAAATGCAGATGTGAAAAGCCTGTTGACTGGCAACCAAATGTCATTACGTGTTGAGCAAGTGAAAAAGAAACGTCAGGTGATGGAGCGCATAGTGGATGTTGTTAAAGTCATAGGCAAATGTGGCCTTAGCTACAGGGGAGATAAAGAAGAGACAAGTTACAGCTTAGAAAACCTTGCTGTCGATCATGGTAACTTCCTGGAGTTGATTCTACTCATGAGTAGATATGACGTTTGCCTCCTACAGCATGTTAACACTTGCATTGAAAACAGTACATTCAAAGTACTTACAGACAAGGAGAATGGATATCATCACAGCTCAAAATCTGGTTAAGGGGACAGAGGATGGCCTCAGAAGGTGTGCTAGGGACTTTCAAGGAGTGAAGTGTGCAGCTGATGAGTTTGTGAAGTGGGCTAATGGAAAATTGCAAGTGGAGGAAGAGTGTGAGCTTGTAGTGCAGGCAGCTCTTTCTGAGAGAAGGATCAGAAAAAAGAAAAGAATGCCAGGAGAGCTTGCAGAAGATGAGCAGATGGCATCAGCTGATACTGACTTCATGGTAAAAGTACACAATGTCATTGTAGACACAGTAACAGGCAGTATCCATAGGAGGTTTTCTGCTAATGCAAAGCTTTGCTCAGATTTTGCATGTTTAGACCCTAGAAACTTTGTTCATGTGAGAAAAAATGGACTCCCCAGCTCAGCTCTGGAGGAAAAAGGCAAATGTCTGCTTAAATTTGACAACATGGCTACAGTTGGCACATTGTGTAGTGAACTGTACAGCCTTGCATCTCAGTGGGACAGACTGAAGATGTCCCCTCTGAAGGGTTACAGTGTCAGGACAGCTAGTGAAATGACGGAAGGAAATGATGAGGAGGATCCCTCCATGGAACAGCAGGATGTCAAAAACTTGTTCCTACTGTAAAAACTGTCATCTGTGTTTATCTCATCCTCTCTCAGTACAATCTTCTAACTGATGCCTACCATGTGATTGGACTCGCCTACAAGTTGTTATTAACATTGTCCATCACACAAGTAGCCTGTGAGAGAAGCTTCTCAACTGTGAAATTCATAAAAAACAGGCTCAGGAGCACTTTAACCCAGAAAAACTTTGAGGCATTCATGCTCATGTCCATGAGAAAGAAATTCTCATGTCTTTGGACAATGACATTGTGATAAACAAAATTGCAGAGACCAGTCCACTACTCAGGCACTTATTAATTTTTTAGAGTTGGCCATGTTGCGTTGAAGATGCACCTAGGCAGATGAAAAAGAGATTAGAAAGAAAAAGATTCATGCAGATAACAGTGCCATTATTGTTTTATTCTTTATTTGTGTTTGAGGGTTGATATCCACAGTACAAACAATTTTGCACAGAAAATACCAGTTTTATGTTATTTTTGTGAGAAATATTTGTTGTAAAATGTATTTTATTACACTTATATTTATGTGAACACAACTTTTTCAAAAAATAGATTGATACTGTCTGTTAAAAACAGTTAAAAACTTTGTTTTGCCTACTGTTAACTGTTCTAATAAATATTAACTGTCAATGGACACTTTATTTGCACTAATTTGGAAATTAAATATTTGCAACATATAATGAATTACAAGGCTGCAGAGAGCAGTGCACTATTGCATACTTATATACTTAGTTTTTAATTACGTTATTTTAATATAGTCAGTCGTGAACTAAAGTGGGCCGGTCTAAGTCATAAAACTCCAGGGCTGAAAAAGAGTCCCACTCCGGCCCTGCTATGAATTGATTTTGATAATTACTGTAAGCTTGGTAAGTATTAATGGTAATCGGTAATGGTAATTTAAATCCTTATTATTGAGTGTTGTTTATGATTATGGTAGGATGTAAGAGAATCTTTGTTGTTTTCTGTGTATTAGTTACCCCCTAATGTTATGATTAACCAAT